ATACTTTATTTAAGATGACCTTGTTTTTAGCCTGCTTTTTAGCAGATCCAGCTGGAGCTGATAAACTTGTGTTTGGTATATCCAGTTGGCTGTACAGATCTGCCCATAACGCCTGTTCTAAAAATTAAAAATGTGGTGGTTGAAATTTTATTGTTTGGGAACAATTTTGGATTAAATAGTATAACATTGTAAAACTCAGGTGTTGTAGCTCCCCTAGAGAGGTTCTTACATGCAGGGAAAATATCCTTTTAAGAAACCATGGCGCAATGAATTCGTGATAAGTCTTCCTGTGCCAGATTCACATTTAACCATAGAAGTTGGTTGTCCTAACTCATTTTGGCTAGTAATATGTCCATCACCCTTGCTAAGATGCTAAGATATCTAAGGATGAAGTATATGCCTCTCCTCTTTGTATGACAAGCCTCACTGCAATTCCCATTGCCCTTGCTATCTAAAATATAGCAGTAACAATCATATCTGATTCCCTAATGGGGTGTTGATGCACAAGTTACAGTGGTACCTCGCAAGACGAATGCCTCGCAAGACGGAAAACTTGCAAGACGAAAGGGTTTTTTTTGTTTTTTGAGCTGCTTCGCAAGACGATTTTCCCTATGGGCTTGCTTTGCAAGACGGAAACGTCTTGCAAGTTTGTTTCCTTTTTCTTAACACCGTTAATACAGTTGCGACTTGACTTCGAGGAGCAACTCATAAAACGCGGTGTGGTAGCCTTTTTTGAGGTTTTTGAAGACTTTGGTGATTTTTGAAGCTTTTCCAAAACTTTCCCGACACCGTGCTTCGCAAGACGAAAAAAATCGCAAGACGACAAAACTTGCGGAACGAATTAATTTTGTCTTGCGAGGCACCACTGTATTTGTTACTAGCTGTATAACAAATAGTGCAACTATAATTTGTCATGTGACAAAGACACATGAGAGCAGAAGCAGCAAAGTCGGCTGGGAAGTGCTGGGACTGCACAATCACTTGGGCCTACTCAAGTTATTCAGGCCTAACTGCTAACTGTTGAGTCACTCTGACATGTGACTCATTCTCCCTATAAGAGCAGCCATTTTATCTCTGTGTTCAGATTTCAGTCAGAGTCAGTCTACCTCAGTTGTGAGCAGAGTTGGTGTGTAATCTCAGTCAAACTGTTTACGCTGCACGTCATAATTAAGGACACATATTTTGGCTTTAAGCTTGTATGGAGATACTGATAACCAAAGGCACAACTAGAAGGCTCAACATTCCATATTTCTGTCGGTATCCTGCTGCTCATTTTTTGAAAAAAGGCTTTTATCATACATTTTTGCATGAATTTCCAATTTTGTTTTGTTTCTCCGGAGGTTTACACTCCTCTGTTTTCACGTGTTTCCAGGTGTCTGCTCACGAACAGAAGGAACCAGTATGTGTGTGAGTGGTTACAAATCTGAGAATGAGAGAAGGATGGTGATACAGTGGTGCCTCGCAAGACGAAATTAATTCGTTCCGCAAGTCTCTTCGTCTTGCGGTTTTTTCGTCTTGCGATGCACGGTTTCCCATAGGAATGCATTGAAAATCAATTAATGCGTTCCTAGGGAAACCGCCTTCAGACCAGGTCCGGGGACAGTCTGTCCCCCGACCTCTTCTGAAGGCTGGGGGGGGACAAGGGCTTTTCTTCCCACCCCCAGCATTTTAAAAAACCCCGGGACAGCGGAGGACTTCTCCGCTGTCCGGGCGATCTTAAAATGCTGGCGGGCGGCATTTTAAAATCGCCCCGGGACAGCGGAGGACTTCTCCGCTGTCCGGGGCGATTTAAAAGCCCCTGGGAAGGCAGGCAGGGGGGACAAAGACTTTCGCCCCCCGCCCGCCTTCAGAAGGTGTTCCCGCCCCCCCCCCCGCCCGGCTTCGCAGCAGCGCTACGAAGTCCGGCGGCTGGGGCAGGTGTTCCCGCCCCCCCCACCCCACTTCGGAGCACCGGGAGAAGCGATCTCCCCGCCGCCCCTTGCTTCAAAAGAGAAGACCCGCTGTCCCCGGGGCAAGCTTCGTTTTGCGAAGCAAGCCCATAGGGAAATTCGTCTTGCGAGGCGTTCGTCTTGCGGGGTACCACTGTACTTCATTTCTGAATGGTCACAGAAAACCCTCTGGAAATGAAGGGCAGCAGAGAAATAATTGTTTGGTATATTTTTGTCTTGTTCCGGTTTTGTTTGGGAGTCTATATTCCTGAACCCTTATAAATCTTAACCCAGGGAGCCTAATTTTTTTGTTTTTTTAAAAATTGCCAGTGAGCATAATGTAGCTATAAATCCTGAAACTGATGACCATCATCAGAAAAGCTGCCTGTAGCTGCCATTAGTAGCTGCTGAGCTAATGATGGGCTGGGCAGATAATCATATGAAAGTTAATTGTAAGGTTTGATATGGCATCTTGTCAGCAGAGATAAGTTGTCACGTTTTCCACTTGAGCTGAAACTAAATGATTGTAAAATAAGTTATGAGTGTCCTTGGGCCTGTCTGCCAGAATGATGGCTAAGAATACATTCCTGGCCCATCAGTCTCAAGAAGCCGGTTTGATATTTATGCGAACTGAATGTTATTTTATTCTCCCTCTAGTCATGCTTGCCAGCTTCCCGAGTGAAAAGTGAAACTGCTTCTTTGACTCATACATCAAGTAGTGAAGCTCAAATATTGCACAGATTGTTATTATTATTGTTATTACTAGTGTTATATATATTTTTGAGGGTATGCATTGAACATTGATGCTCGATTAGGAAGAACTAATGGCTGAAATTGAACATACAGGATGGCTAGAGAACAGCCCATCTCAGCTCAGTGCGTTTTATGAGTTCTAGTGCTTCTGTCAAAGCTGGTTAGGCTGTGGAGTAATGAGGCGCTTGTTTCTTTTTAATTTGGTATGCTTCTTATATTTAATAGTAGCAGCCGTGGTCATCTGTTCTCACATTCAGTAATTGATACCAAATAAAATGTGTTATTTGTATTCAGTCAGGGGTATAAAATTGTATGCAGTGAGTTGAAGCTAGAACTCCTTTACAATTTTCAAGAGGTCACTTTTCAGTTTGAAGAATAAATTCCTTGTCAAGGAAGCATAGTAGTCAGAAATGGGGAAAGCGTGCATGTAAGCCTAGTGGTCTTTAGTGGCTCATATTTTAAAGCAGACAAATGCAAAGTAACCTAGAATACTGGAAACTAGAATGCTGTGTGTTAATAGAGAAACAATGAAAGCCTAGTTCTACATCCCAGATTCACATTTCTTTTTCCAGATGCGGAGGGAAGCAAATACCTCAGGCTCTCTTCACTTTAGAGCTGTTTGACCCAGGAACAGCACACTATTATCTGAAAAGCATTGTACATCATAAAGACTTGCAGCAGCAAGTTCATTTTTCAGTCGGCCCTTCGCTAGAGAAGTTTTGTGTTGCTGCTGTAGGATATAAGGAGTGATCAGGCTTAAACAGATTCCTCTACATGAACCTGTGCTTGTCGATGAATTAAATGAGGCTAATGCAGAAATATCAAGAGAAGATAATACCCACCTCTTCCGTTTTAATACCAGGAAGGGTTCTGTGTTCAATTGAAGCATCATTTCAGTTCACTATATCTTAAATGGAGTTTAATATCACTTTTCTTCTCTCGGCACCGTATATATAAATACATAAATTAAAAATGTAGCAATATCAAAATATGACACAAAGCAATATTATGAATGTCAAGCAGAGGAAAGGAGAAAATGGCTTGTAAAAGAGTATTTATTGGGTCAGTTAAGAGATTGATTTGGTGTGAAATAGTGTTCCACATTATGTTTTTTTAGAACAAATGCAGGTGAAGTGCCAATTCTCAGGCAGTCAGGATTCAGATTGTTCCTCTGGATAATATCAGGCCTAACAGGTCTATGCCAGACAGGTGGGAGCTTCCATGCCCCTGTTTCATTCGCTTTTAAGTAGTGAAGGCATTGATATAGGTAGCTGTAACCAAACACGAGAAGGGAAGAAGGATGCCCAATGTTCAGAGAAGCAAAAGGAGAAGAAATAGTGACTTTGAGGAAGAGCCACAATTTAGTGGTAGAACACATGCTTTGTATGTATAGGTCCTGGGTTCAACACCTGACACGCTTAGACAGGGCTAGGGAAAGACGGCTGCCTGGCACCTGGAAAGCCAGTGCCTATGAACTAGATAGACCCAGTGGACTTTGCACACATCACAATGAGCCACAGCAAATGGCTCTCCCCTGCCATGCAGAGTTTCCCCATGGTGTTTTCCACACCCACAACATCTGTGCAGTTCAAACAAGCCACACTACAGCTTACTGTGTTCTCTGAAACTAACCATTTGTTTGAAACAAACTAAGCAGGGTGGCTGGGGCAACCCAACCAGATGGGCGGGGTGTAAATAATAAACTTATTATTGTTAATTGATTTGGATGACACATCAAGCCCATACTATGGCTTGTTCGAGTCATTGGGATGGATGGATAGGCAGTGGGGAAAAGCCACACAGGGACCTGTGCAAGAGGGAGGAGGCACAATTAAAACATGGTTTAATGCACACTATGGGCTATTGTATCTTTTTCACATGTTTTGCTGGCAATCCAGTATATTTGTGCAGCTGATTATTCCTGCCTTAGTGTGGAACCTTACATATGTCCATATTGAAATTCATTTTGCCCATACTATCGGGGGAAATACCTATCATCATAGAATTGTAGAGTTGTAAAGGACCACAAGGATAATCTAGTCCCACCTCCCTGTAACGCAAGAATCTTTAGCCCAACATGGGACTCAAACCCACAACCCTGAGAGTCTCCTGGTCTCCTGACTGAGCTATCTCAGTGTCATCTTATGAACATTAAGAAGTTTTGAGTGAAAATTTTGATTTTTTAAAAAACTGACTGTAATCAGTGGTTTTTTTAAAAAAAATAATCAAATATACAAATGCTTGGTTTCTGCTTTTTGTTGAGAAAAAGAGATGTACCTTACCTCATGTTTTATTTTTGTTCCCTGTTCTGATTTACAGATACCGGCTTGGGAGATTCTGTGTGCTCCAGTCCAAGTATATCTAGCACCACAAGTACTAAGCCGGACCCTCCTCCTTCTCCTCATGCAAACAGAAAAAAGCATCGCAGGAAGAAAAGCACAAGCAATTTTAAAGCTGATGGTATCTCAGGCAGTGCCGAAGGTATCTATTTATATTTTCACGAGGTACAAACACTCTGTTTTGACACATCTGAAGTAGTTTTCATGTGGGCTTGGACTTAGGTTTGGTTTTTTTTTGGAGGGGCGGTGTTTACTGCTTGCTTGCTATAATGTCTTAATGATAGTAAAAAGTAAATCTTTCCTTCCATTTTTTAGAGACTAGCCATCTTGTAAATGTAGTTGACCAGTTTCATCTGCAGTCCTATACCTACTTTACCTAACAACTGAGAGCAGGATTATGTTGAAATCTCATGATTTTATTCCAAGAAATACTTTTGTGTCATGCCATATTTTTCCTGTTAAGTAATTTTTGTTTTTACGTTTTCCTGTGAGTTTTATTCATGTTACTGCAAACTAACTTTATCCAACAAATTAATCAGGAATTTGCTTGTGTCATGATTATGTTGATGGGAACAGCTTTCTTGGGTAACTTAAGAGTGTCTCTAGAAGTGGGTCAGTTCCGTGAGCGACTGCTCTCGCACACAGTCATTTAGGATATCTAGAAAAGTTTCCTCTTTCTGGTATTTGGAGCACACACTTACCTGTCTGCTTGAGGGTAATTGAAGTCACCTTTTGCTACAATTGTTCTTTTGGATGCCTCTTTGATTTCATTGTCCATCTCAATATCATCCTGAACATTTTGGTCTGGGGGATTCACAGTATTAAATAACTCTTGGCGCCTGGTATCGCCACCAGCAATAATTCCGTGGAGGAGTCAGCACCTTTTGGTATTTCTTCCATTTAATTTCATTCATTAGGCTTATGGACTTTATGAGCAACACTACCTCCAGTAAACCCTTCTCCGTCCTTCCTATGGAGCTTGTATCCAGAGATAACTGTGTCCCACTGGTTCCCTTCATTCCAGCAGGTTTCCATTATATGCACTATATCTGTGTGGTCCTCTAAGGCCAAGCACTTCAGTTCCCCAAATTGATTTGGGGGCTTCTAGCAATAGTATATAAACATTAGTGTAGCTCTCCAAATGTCTTTGGCACTTGTTTTTTAGTCTACGGTGCTTTGGATTCTCTATAAATTGCTAGTATGTGTCCCTGCAATCTCAAAACCTCCCATTTAAACAAGCATACATTTTTTTTTACCTTCTTTCATCTTTGGCGGAAGATTGATTTTAAACTGGACCCTCCTCAGCTCCTGTCAGCTTTCCCTCAGAAATCAGTTTTAAAACTGCTCTGCCCCCCTTTTAATGCTAAAAGTGGCAACAGTCTGCTTCAGTCTTGACTTAAGTAGATTCCATCCCATTTGTCTAAGCTTGACAACGTTCCGAGGACCAGGAGCTCATTGCACAATGTGGTTTCTGTTCAGCAGGCAGATGGCCATACCTGCAACAATCGGTGCAACACACTGGAATGCCCTCACTCCCTTGCTGGCTTTTGCATATGTCTTTTTGTAATTTATGGAGTTAATGTACTTATGAGCTTGGTATTTGCTAGGTCAAAGGGCTGAACTCACACAATTGCTTAACTTGCCCAATAGCTTAGTATTTTGTCACCTGCTTCATTGCTGTGCAGTTCCATATGTATATACCTTGCTAGCTTTCCCTAGCTGCTAATGCAGGCAATGAGATCAGGCAGTTTGGCTCAAATTCCAAAGAGTTGGAATTTGAAAAGTGACTGGATTTAGATCAGTATAGCACCTTGGGAATAGGCAGTGGGTGTTGAGTTAACTGGGTAATAACTCCCTGTGAAAATTCCTTCCTCCTTCCTTGTGCAAAATTCTTTTTTATTTTTAAAGAATTATAACTTATTTGTATCTAAATCAAATACTGAAACTTTCAGCTATGTCAATTTTTCACTTTTTAAAAAAACTACAACCCTTGGTAAAATAAAGAAATTGAGGGGAAATATTGAGGTTTTTAAAAGTGTAAGTTACCCTGAGGTTTTAAGTTGTAACTTAAAACTCTAGCTGTGATAAACTGAACTAAAAAGGTAAAGGTATCCCTGCCCATACGGGCCAGTCTTGACAGACTCTGGGGTTGTGCGCCCATCTCACTCAAGAGGCCGGGGCCAGCGCTGTCCGGAGACACTTCTGGGTCACGTGGCCAGCGTGACAACGCTGCTCTGGCGAGCCAGAGCCGCACACGGAAACGCCGTTTACCTTCCCGCTAGTAAGCGGTCCCTATTTATCTACTTGCACCCGGGAGTGCTTTCGAACTGCTAGGTTGGCAGGCGCTGGGACCGAACGACGGGAGCGCACCCCGCCGCGGGGATTCGAACCGCCGACCTTTCGATCGGCAAGCCCTAGGCGCTGAGGCTTTTACCCACAGCGCCACCCACGTCCCAAACTGAACTAGTCCAATTAATTTTAAACTGAACTGAAAGCTTAACATTTGGCCAAGTATTTTTCCACTTAAACATCCTCTCAACATTTTTAACATAGGAAAGCATATGCATTGAGCATGATCCAGAATCTACTGGCCCGTATCCCTAACTAGCTAATCAACTAAACACTAATATATTGGTAGGCTTTTCTTTTACCATTTCTCTAAAGTTGGGATTTCTAGGTTTCTTGAAGCTTTCTTGATAAGGGAGAACCGAAAACCAGGTTTCTACCATATTATAATCTCTAGGATTTAACTCTTGAGCTATAAATTATCATAGTGTAGCTCCTAGCACACTGTGCTTTTATCAGTTTTACACTGATGCTTCAATGGGTATTACTTACCAGTTAGTAGTCAAGACTGCTTGACTTTTCTCCTAGCTTGATGTTTTGTCGCTGTGGGCCTCTTTGTCAGGTGGGCCTCCCTCGAGTTTGTGGAGCGGGATCCTTCACTAGGTTGTTCTAGTTTTGTATGTAAAATATGCTCAGACATAACACTGAACTAACCCCTGGCTTAGCTCAAAGGAGAATGGGAGCAGCAAAACCCAGAGGAGGAGCAAAATAACTGCATTCGTCTCTCTCAAACACATTCTGAACCAGACTGGACACGGGTAAGGGCTCAACGTCAAGCCTACCAAGTGGCGATAGAGACGGCAAAGAGGACCATTTATTTCATGGGATGCTGGGAACAGTGGATTGGGTATTCACATGACCTCAGGCAGGAGCAAAGGCTTGTGGGAGGCAGGCACATCCTCCTCAGTTTTTTCTCCTGTCTCACTCAGCAGGTTGTTTCTGCTGGCTCTCCTGCTTCTGCAGATAAGTTTTCAGTTTTTGATCTCATTTTATTGTTGCTTTATTTTCCCTAGTTTTCCTTAGTTTTAGCAACTTACTTTGAGTCTTACAAATATGTGTGTGTGTGTGTAGTCCAAAAAATATTTTTCCTGCCCATTTGTTTGCCTTAGCAACCTTAGTTCTTCCTGTTTTTCGTTTATTTAGTTTACTCTCTTGCAGAGCGTCCCTGTATATTGCTCTCTTACAGAGTTACTAAATGTGCTCTTTTTTTCCACGCTGTGGCTTCGTTTTGCCACGCACCAGTTTATTGATCAGATTTAAAGATAAATGGAGGGAGATTCTACCCGAGGCTTTTCACAACCGCGGCTCACTTTCAGTAGCCGCTGGCTCCATATCACCACCTCATTTTTTGGTGATTTCTGCAGTCTTTAGCCTTTATTTCCTGTATCATTTCAGGCTTCATAAGGCTTCATATTGACTGCTCTCCTGGTCCATGGTACGGCAGAAGGAGCTGGGGTTATTATTCCTCAGCATTATATTCTCCTCCCAGTTTGCAGTCGCACTGGTAGACTGCTTCTGAACCTCCTAGTTAAGGAGTGATTCAATTGTTTATCATTATTTACACTTACTAGTCTGTGGCTTGCAGTCTGTTTCCTCCTAGTCCTCTTGTGACGTCATTGGAGAGACGTATTTTTGTGCCTCTTCCCATAGTCCACTTTTGCGGCATTGGAAGTGAATGCTGCTCAGTTTTCCCGTGTGTGGCTGCGTTCAGAACAATTTCATTTATTTGATACAGTGGATGGGGCACTTTGATACAAAGCATAAATTGTATGAGAATGGTAATTATTTACAAAAAATTAATGGGGGAAAATTTATTGTGAAAGATCATAATCAGCCTTACAATTTGTTATTTAAAATCTAAATTACGTATCAAAACTAACAGTGTTTCACAGATATCATAGACTTTATGGCAGGTTTTCTTAACAAATCATAAAAAAACTAAAAAAAAAACATAAAAACTTATATTAATCTTTCCTGAAACACCTATACATTTAAAAAAAACTTTGGAAAAACTTTTTAAAAATATAAGAAGTCACATTAGGTAGACAAAAAATAGTAATTTAACAAAATGCTTATAAAAAATAAGATAATTACTTAACATTTAACTTATATTGCACATCATATCCACTGAAGTCAAAAGAAAAAGTATAAAGAGATGGTGTTCGAGATGTGCCCTTTGAGAAATTTGGTTTTGGCAAATGCAAAACAACATCCTTGAAATCAACGCTTGCCTTATCTTCTACAATGGGGAAGACAAACATACAAGATCCTGGTTTTTTCCTGAGATATGACACTTGATAATCGGTCATATTATATTTAGAAATGACTTTGGCCACATAGTAAACAACAGTTTTTTCTTTTCAAATTTCATGAGTAGGAAATCAGTTTTGAGATTTCATGCAAACTTGTATATTGGGGCACTATTGTACATTAGCGGGGCACTTTTATACGCATCAATGTGCCCCGTGTCTTAGTGTATCAAAGTGCCCCAAGTGACATTTTCAGAAAACTAACAATTATTAATAAAACCACTGAACTTATTTAGAAATCATGTGTAATCCTGGTTACTGAGTGGGATAACTTACCTTTGGTACTTTTAAATCGTAACTAAATGACATAAAACAGCGTTGGAAAACTTTTACATTTCACATAATTTTTTAGTTGGCTGCGCTAAAAACACACCTACTCTCGTCAAACGCCAACAGCAAACTGGCGGGCAGCGCAGTCGCAACTGTTATACTCACACAGGTATAGACACGTTTTAGTGATGTCACGACACGAATAACATTTCTCGAT